AACGGGGACTGTTGCAAGGTCTGGCTAACTGCGCCCGAGAGAGATCATGAAATGCATCACCCTGTGGGTAGCTCTGGGTGCTGAGGATTTATAGTTTCAAGCTACAACTCAGTTCGCTACGCTATCCTGTTTCCTGGGAAAAACTGTAGGACCTCATCTCCAAAACATTGAAAACCATGGCGTCAAGTCAATGGTCCCTGTTGTACACCTGATTTTCACACGATTGATGTGCGCTTGCATATAATAGTTCTGTTAGTCCTGGACATGCAAATCAGGTGTACAATTTGTACTCCTGTAGTTTTGAAATTGAAGTTATAAATGCACTAAACATTGACTGATGCAGACCTCTTAATATATTGATTACATCCCATTCATTTGGAGTAACACGCAAAATTAAAATAGGGCTTAATCCCTTTTTTATGGATCTTATTCCCAGTGGGACTTCCTTTGGGATGGTGTTGGTCTGCTACTACAAGAATCCTGGCCTTCCTATGACTGAACTGTCTCTCTTCAATGATGAAGAAAGCAACTGTCCCCTCATTCCTGGTAGTAAACAGAGGCCTGCCAAAAAGCCAAGACTTCGAAAGTTACACAAACCTGCATATCTTAACTTAAAATTCGAAGTTTTAAAAGGGAACCACCAGACAGACAATAACCTAAAATCAGCAGCAACAGCATGGAAAACAGTTCATCTTGTTATCAGTTTTAAGAGCTAAATGTTAAGAAACCGATGCAGAGAATAATTTAGTCCTAAACTGAAAGTAAAACATAACCCAGAGATTCTTACTCTCATATGGTTTGGGTTTTTTTTTCCCCCCATAATTTAGAACACCTTTCTGAGCCAGACACATGCAAACTCTAAAAAATCTGACTTTCTGGCTAGGTAAAATTGTTACAGTTATGGTACTGTTATATTACAGCTACGAGGGGGAAGGCTAAAGAGTGCGACACTGTGGAATAACAGTGTTGGGTAAAGAGCAGAGTATTAAGTGAACATAACATAGTAGCAACAAAACACTTTGAAAAGAAGGACATGGATTCAAACCCAAGAATTCAGCCTGTGTACAAAAACCTGTATATGTGCAATTAAGTATAATTTTTTTGACTCTTAGAAGCTGTAATTTTAATAAACTAGAAATACTTGGCAACAAGAGGA